TTAGTTCTTGCGTTTACAAGAATCAACTTATACAGTAAGATTGTTATGACCTCAAGACTTTTATTATTTACTGCACCAAAGAAAAGAAATCCGATATTAGTGTGAGTTGTGACAAGTCGAACAACGGCGAATTACTAGTTTAAATTAGTAAAACAGATCAAAGACGATTGATTTTTTTTTTAAATTTGACAGTTGTGGTGAAGTTTTATTATAGACGACACTTTTATGTGACAAGGGACGTGTTTGCATCTTTTATGTGAGAAGTGACGTCTTGGTCTTAACGGTTTAAATTTGGCCGTGTGGTTCCATATAAAGTTGGATGACAACAGAAAATTATGAGTGTTAAAAAGTTTTTGGAATTGATCAATGGTTATTGCACTAACCGATCCATTCAATTATCTTGTTGTGTTAGAGATGCGGACTTTTTAAAAATGCATAATGTTTTATTTTTTGGATACAAACATAGTTGAGGTTAACTTTGCTAAGTATGCATATATCAATACTAGCCGTCCCTGCCAGGTCTTGCGTTGGCCTCCGTGAAAAAAACCTATCTGTTAAGGGCCATGACCTGTGTTTATTAAGTAGCTTATACCTGAAAATGCCTGGGATTAGGAAATATATTAATTTTCTTATAACCCTAGCCTCAACCAACAAAAACCAAAACACAAAAACAAACGCAAACACAAACACAACCTAAACCCAAACCTAAGCTCAAACAAAAACACAAACACAAACACAGACGTAAACACAAACGAAAAAAACAAACCCAAACCCAAAAACTTACGCAAACCAAAACAAAAAACAAACGCAAACAAATAATCAAAAACGCAAACGCAAACGCAAACATAATCTCAAACACAAAAGCAAACACAAACGTAAACACAATCAAAACATGCAAACACTAACGCAATTACAAAAGCAAACACAAACACAAACGCAGACACTTACGTAAACAGATACACTAACACAACACAAACACAATGACAAATGCAAACGCAAACGCAAGCAAAAATCAAACCTAAAAGCAAAAAAATAACGCATAACATAAACATTAACTTAAATGCAAACATAAAAGCATAGTGTTCACTGGGCGTCAAATCGCATCCTGCCACGGTGCCGGCGAAACCACCTGATTCAATTCAGTAAATTACTATAAGACACAATCTTATTCGTAGTCTATTGCACTTTTTAAAACGAACGTAGTTGTCACAGTGTTAACGGGTAGGCCTTAGCGCCAAATAGCAACCTGTCGGGGCGCCGAGGGGTCGCTCTGAATTCGCTTTAGTTAACGACAATATAAAACTTTCTTATCCATAGTCTATCGCACTGTTTAAAACGAACGTATGCACCGTAGCATACTATAATACCCCTAGTTTGTCCACAGAAAGATAGAAATATACGTAGAGGACATTTAGGAGCGGCTTCGAAACTGTAATTGATTGATAATAATTATTAGCAGTACGTTCAGTATATGAAATAAATAAAAGGCAGCATTTAAAATAAATATCCTACTACATTGCACTTTATCAATGCACGCAAATTATTACATTTTTTCCAGCACCAAAACAAACTAATAAAAATAATTTTTTCCCTGATGTAATGTTTTTTTAAAGGGAAGTAATATTATTTTGTGATCTTCAAGGGAAGTAATTTGCACTTTTTAAAAGTTTTTTTGAAAGATGATACATTTTCTTTGACTTTAATTATTCCACGTGAAGTTAATTAAAATGGTAAGTTTGGAAAATGAAACTTTTTTTACATAACCATTCACATTATTCAGTAATTCATTCATTTCTTTAATACACGGTTTAAGAATATTACACTTTAGCGATGTAGTCGAGTTTTTTACCAAGGGCCAAGGGCCAGTCTGCTGTCACATACAGAGACAAAGAATTCGTTTGAGCTTTATATTTAAGTTTGTTTTTTAAAAGTCGCATGTATTTTTATTCGTATGTCATGTAACTTTATGGAGTGACCTCCCTTTACGATCATTATTTCCCATTATCGACATGTAAAATAGATCCACTTAGCAATTATCGAATCTAAAGTTGTGCTCACGACTTAGAAAAACGGCATTCAGCTGCAGGCTGCCTACCTGCTACAATAGTAAAGAAAAGTAGGCAACAATAAGTACATTATCTCCATTTGGTTCAACGTTATTGACTAAGCTACCCGTTTTACTAATGTGAGGGATTCTGTGAAGAAATGTATTGATCCAAATCTGTTTACATTCAGTCTTGTCCACACGCCTTCTATTGTTTGGGGTTTTATCGAAAGTAGCCATCTTATAGCGGGTCCTATTTTTTTAAGCATTTAGTCGTGACGAATATAAAAAGGTAATTAATGCGTTTTTAATGGGATCCCGGAAAATTGCGCAATCGGAAAACTGCGCATCAGGAAACAGCTTTAATTTTGTCGTATTTCGAGGAAATGTGTTTTATCATGTTACAATGTACACGTAGTCACTCTTTGTTAATGTCTATAAATGCTCGATTTAAGAAAACAAAATTGCCTTAGCGCACTATTTATTTAATTTAATGTGTGCTTTCCTGTTTGTTAAAAGTCTCAGCTTCAGCTGCATAACAAAATGACATTGACTTGGATGGCTGAAAAAAATAATCCTAATCATGACTGTGAGATTACTGCTTGTTTTTAGGATAAGATTGCAACTTAAAATACATGGAAATTAAATATTTGAAAAATATTTTTAAAACAATTGTAACTGCAGTGATTTAGGAAATAAAATTTGATTATGATTTGATTTAATTTATTTTAACATAACTGACAACAACACAGGACATAAAAAAAAGTAATGGTTGGTAATTGTGTCATGTTTTAATCGGTCAGAAGATCATCACATGCATGCTTAGGTCACCAGATGATAACAGGTATACAAGGGTCAGAAGATCATAACACGTATACAAGGGTCAGAAGATGATAACACGTATACATGGGTCAGAAGATCATAACACGTATACATGGGTCAGAAGATCATAACACGTATACAAGGGTCAGAAGATGATAACACGTATACATGGGTCAGAAGATCATCACATGCATGCTTAGGTCACCAGATGATAACACGTATACAAGGGTTAGAAGATGATAACAGGGGTCACCAGATGATAACACGGGTCACCAGATGATAACACGTATACAAGGGTCAGAAGATCATAACACATATACAAGGGTCAGAAGATCATAACACGTATACATGGGTTAGAAGATCATAACACGTATACATGGGTCAGAAGATCATAACACGTATACATGGGTCAGAAGATCATAACACGTATACAAGGGTCAGAAGATCATAACACTTATACAAGGGTTAGAAGATCATAACACGTATACATGGGTCAGAAGATCATAACACGTATACATGGGTCAGAAGATCATAACACGTATACATGGGTCAGAAGATGAAAACACGTATACATGGGTTAGAAGATCATAACACGTATACAAGGGTTAGAAGAAGATAACACGTATACAAGGGTTAGAAGATCATAACACGTGTACAAGGGTTAGAAGATGATAACACGTATACATGGGTTAGAAGATCATAACACGTATACAAAGGTTAAAGATCATAACACGTGTACAAGGGTTAGAAGATCATAACACGTATACATGGGTTAGAAGATCATAACACGTATACAAAGGTTAAAGATCATAACACGTGTACAAGGGTTAGAAGATCATAACACGTATACAAGGGTTAGAAGATCATAACACGTATACATAGGTCAGTCAGAAGATCATAACACGTATACATGGGTTAGAAGATCATAACACGTATACATGGGTCAGAAGATCATAACAAGTATACATGGGTTAGAAGATCATAACACGTATACATAGGTCAGTCAGAAGATCATAACACGTGTACAAGGGTTAGAAGATCATAACACGTATACATAGGTCAGTCAACACGTATACAAGGATTAGAAGATCATAACACGTATACAAGGGTTAGAAGATCATACCAAGTGTACATGGGTTAGAAGATCATAACAAGTGTACATGGGTTAGAAGATCATAACAAGTGTACAAGGGTTAGAAGATCATAACACATGTACATGGGTTAGAAGATCATAACACGTGTACATGGGTTAGAAGATCATAACATGTGTACATGGGTTAGAAGATCATAACACGTGTACATGGGTTAGAAGATCATAACACGTATACGAGGGTTAGAAGATCATAACACGTGTACATGGGTTAGAAGATCATAACACGTGTACATGGGTTAGTTAGAAGATCATAACACGTATACAAGGGTTAGAAGATCATAACACGTATACAAGGGTTAGAAGATGATAACAGGGGCAGAAGATAATAACACGTATACAGACGATAATAACAGGTATACATGGGTCAGAAGAATATAACCCATATACATGGGTCAGAAGATTATAACACGGAACAGAAAATCATAACACGTATACATATGTCAGAAGATCATAACAAGCATGCATGTCTGGTTTACAGAAACAAAACTGTATCTTTGTATTCTAAATTTGAAAGATTGCGTTTTTTAGTAAATACATTAGTCTAAATGTTGGGAAACGTTCTCTTATTATCCACTCTATAAAAGTGTTTTATAAAGATATTAAAGTATTATTTTAAGAAAACCACATGTGATGTTATTATTTGCGAAATTATTTATCAACATTCGTATCTCACTTAAGTACTAACGCCTTTGTATCGAGATATATTCTAAAGCAAACATAAGTTTAATCAATGTACACTTTAGTTATTCAACACATCATACTAATTTAAGAAAGAATTTTTTTTTTAGAAAACATGTTTATTTAATTACAAAAGCCGTTAACTTGAAATTATTTAGTTATGTTTAAATCTTTCAAAATATTTGTTAAAATTAAAAATCGCAAAGAATAGTAAAAGAAAGTGTAAAAAAGAAGCAAAACCATCGTATTCGGCGTCTCTAAGATATTTTATTTCATAAATAACACAATGTTTTAAACCTGTTTGTATGACATTGGTGGTATAGTTAAGCAACGATCTAAATTTGTATGTAATTTTTTTTTATATTATGAAAAACTGATTTCATCTATTTTAAAACCGTTGTACACGTTCAGTGTATCAATCTGCGTGTAGGGATACGCATGAGCGAAGTCACAGACATACACGCCGTTGACGTAGAACACAAACCTATCCTTCCGCACCAAAATGTAGACCTCAGCCGTTTTGTTCACTTGGAAGGAAAACGGGCTGGGGTAGGCTTTTTTCACCGCACCCCAGGTTTGCCCGACCCTGGAGTTCATCAAGATGTAGCTATATGCAAGGTTAGGATCGTAGTGGGGTTTGAAGTGGATGTTGGTGTTGGCGTTGGCGTTGGACGTGAACTCAAAGATGAAAGTCCTGTAGCTTAGGTAGGTCCCTGATATGTACACCTGAAAGAACAATATATATATATATATATATATATATATATATATATATATATATATATATATATATATATATATGTGTGTGTCTGTGTGTAGAAGCTTTTTATTCAGGCTGGGTACCATGTTAGTCTCACAACACTTACCTAGTACATATATGAAATTATATGAAATGCAACTTATTGCCATTGAGTCTAGACTTACCGTCGATCCCTCAGTAATGTCACAGTCGACAGGAACTTTGAGAAACGTTTTGTTGGTGACTGGGTTTAGCGGAACATCCAGCTGGCGATACTGATACGACACGTGCATCTGTTTTCCAGGTGTGAATGTCAAGTTGGTCAGGTTTCCCCCTGCGCACGTGCTACACACCTGCGTGTTGTAGGTGAAGGCCACGCAGTTGTTGGCCAGGGAGCAGATGTTGGAGCAGGTGAGAAAGGAACTTGCCAGTTGGGATGTTGTGTTACAGCCGCTGATGTCAAGGCCGTTGAAGGCCCTGTATCTCCTGGTCCGGAGTCCTGTCAGGGAAATGTTGCAGGACTGGCACACGACACCAGTGTATAGCTCACACAATACACACAAGGCTAGTGCTAAAACTATACCACAGACACTCATTATCTTTATATAATTTCAAAACTGTGAACAGAAACAGAATAGTCTAGAGCTGAATTATTCCTCAATAATTGTACTGTGCATCGAGTTGAAAAATGTCTTCAAATTTAAAATTGCATTCCTTTTCTAAAAATAACAAATCAACATATTCCAACCTGGTTGTGCTTGGAGCCTATACTGTCCTATTCCAACCTGACATCCTAAACACGATCGCACCTTTGTGGTGGTTAAAGCAATCACAGCTTCAAGTATCGATTCATCAATACATAACGATTGTTGCTGATCGAACCTATAACTTTTACTTGTTCAGTTTTGTATTCTATAGAAAACATGATTGTATTGACGTGATATTGATCAACACCTAATCTCAAACAAAGTAACAAGAGTAGTGGAGAAGCTGAACAATGGTCAATTATTATCGATTAGTTTTGAGCGGATTAAACAAAATCAAAGCCAATAAACCGTTAATATTTCCCAATTCTCGGTGAAGTGACGTGGTTCTAGACTTTCCTGTGGCAAGGTAACGGGCGTTGTTTGTTGAATGTTAGGTAGGTCACGCTGTTACGTCCCTTACATGTCCCCTGCTTGTGTGTGTGTCTGTTGTGTGCTGGAACGACAGGTACCCTCCCTTTGGTGTATAGTTGTATCCCTTGGTTGAGTGTGTTTACATGGAGCGAGAAGTGTTCACGTGAGGTGTGTCAGGTGACGGGTGTCAGAGCGTGTGTCAGTGTGTGAGGTAGTTGTAGTGTGGCTGTGGACGTGGAACGTGGAACGTGGTGTTGAGTATTGTATTTATGTTGTAGACCCCTTTTGATCCTTTTATTATTTTAGTACTGTATATATTATTAAATATCTTATTATTATTGTTATTATAGAGTGTTAGTGTTATTGTTGTGTACGTCGTATTTGTCTGTTGTTATATATAAACCCCTAGATTCAAGAACCCAACATTTGGGGGCCCGTCCGGGATAGCATGGCGACTACCAGGAGTGCCAGAAGACAGTTAATAAGCGACTTGAAGGAGGAGGGGTAGCTAATCGGGCTGACCGATGACAGTTTGGCGGAGTGGGTGAAGGAAGAGTTGAGGAGGGTAGAAGATGTGAAGGGCGATGTCGTGGCAAAGGTATGTAACCCTGTACCCCGCTTGAGGGACGTGGCGGCGATGACGGTGGACGAAGACCTGGGTGCGTACGTGAGACACTTTGAGAGTCAAGCCAAGAGACAAGGTATCGACCCCAAGGACTGGTCGCTCCTGCTGACTGACAAAATGAGTGGACAACTGAAGACTTTCCTCGTTGAGACGGGACTGAACTTGCATCATGACTTCGAGTCAGTTAAGGTAAAGTTAATGACGCACGCAGGTTTCAACGAGGAAAAGTATAGGGTCAGATTCCACCAGCTAGTACCAACACACGACGATATGAGAAGCTTCGCAGTCAACACAGAAGCCGCGTTGAGAGCGTGGGTCCGGCAGTCGGAGACAAAAGAAACGTTTGAGGACTTGGTGAACCTCCTGATAGTTGATTTTTAATTAACCTCTGATTTGCATTTTTCGTGGTAGAATAGACATATTTGGATTAGTCGAAGAGAATTTTTATAATGTAAACAATCTGGATGATTTGATGTGTTAAATGAGTGTTTTGCTTTGGTGGATGGTTAGTTTAGCGATGGCCTAGTTAAATTCCATTGAAAAGATTCCACACTTCGTAGAATCTATATCTTGTATTTTACAACACAACAACATTGTCTGGTTCATATTTAAAATTATGAATACGTGATAATTAAAAACACAAACATTACTAATAATGTATGGGTATTTAGAATGTGTATCCCGTTTAAAAGATATTGTTTTGACACCTTTTTGAAACTATTCTTCTTCGTTCTTAATGTTTAGTGTTGGAAGGAATCGAGCCTTATCTGCCAGAGTTTGAACTCGAGACTTTTTTTCGAATTTATCATCCATGAGCTTTGCCGACCACGATTCCAACACAATTAAGGATACGTGTCAACTGGTTACGCGCCATTGAGGCCATTGACTCCGATTTCAGCCTGCTTTTCTTTTCGGATTCGCTTCCATAGCCTTTGTCCAACCAAGAACAAACTACAATGCAGCAGTTGTTTGATTTTCGAACTCGAAACTTTTCGGTTTAGCAACCATGAGCTTTACTGACTCGACCACGCCGAACCTTTCTGAAACTATTGATTTGTTGAGTAAATCGTTAGACTTCCTGAATCGAGTATAAATATGAAGTGATACTAAGATTTCCAAAAATACATGTATGTTTTTGCATCACAAATTTCCGTTTGTTAGTTAGGGGATGTGGGCGGGGTGATACTACCTCCTGAGTAGTAAATCCACCTATACATTTTAAAATTTAACGCAGCTTCTTGAAAGACACCACTGTGGCAGTCTAGCTACTATTATAAAAAAAAACAAATGGAAGCAAGACAATACACGATGTCCTCCTGCAACAACCGTTTAACCCCTAAAAATAATGTTGATGTCAGGCGATCATAGCCGAGGTTTAACTAATCTGGTGACAATGTCTTATCGGAAGTAGAAGTAAACAATGTTTACACACGTTTTCTTTGGGCAACATGTATTGCCACAGGGAGCTTTTAGCATGAAATGTTAGGTCAATATATGAACAGACCACAGCTCGATTATAGACACAATGTTGTGGGTGTGAAAGGGAGTATCGACAGAGTCCCTCCTACACAGGTCTCTTTATACAGGGCCCTGCAGTTTATATGGATGCGGGTCTGTTTTAAGGTTTAAAAATTAAAACGCTACCGTATACTTAAAATAGGTCACGTATGGCTGAAGCAAACGAGCATTGTTCTGGCATTTCCATTTGTAATAACACCGTTTTGTTAGAAATCTATCGATGCTAAATGGTCTTATAGAAGATTTCCTGAGGGTCGTATGTAAACCACACATTCTGCTCTTTAGTGCTTATGTTAATTATACATTATGTGTGTTGATAATATATAACTTAACAGTGGCGTAGCGAGGTCGGGTGTCACCCGGTGCGGCACTTAATAATGTCACCCCCCCCCCCCCCAGAGGCATAGCGACCCTTCCCGGGGACAAACTTTCAAATTTTCGATTTGCACCCCCCCTCAAACTTTCGATTTGCACTCCCCCCCCCCCTCAAGTTTTTCTCTATATATTTTGCTATTTTTTGCCTTGGTGTCACCCCCCTAAATGGTGTTGTCACCCGGTGCGGTCCGCACCCCCGCCCCCCCCACCCCTCGCTATGCCCTGTATAACTATATATACTTATAATATATAAATATAATATATATACACACACATATATATATACACACATATATATATATATATATATATATATATATATATATATATATATATATATATATATATATATACATACATACATACATATATATATATATAATATATATATATATATATATATATATATATATATATATATATATATATATATATATATATATATATATATATATATATATATATACAACAACTGTTCAGCACCACTCGTTGAGTAATTAATGAAAAGTGCACATTCTAGAAGGGCATGTATTCGGCGGGGAAGTATTTGTCATGAATGTTTATATTTATAATTATGCGTATGATATCCGTATACGATTATAGACCACTGATGTTAACATTTGCTAGGTTGTTTTTATTGTAAATATTATGTAAACATGCAGTTGTCGGAGTGTTATTGCCCATTTAACTACTATTAAGACGGACAGTCATTTTTACAATAAAAGAATTATATTTGAATTAACTTTTTTATATTTGTCTGTGGTTTTGACTCATAGTGAAGTAACAAAAATGTATTAGTAAGTAAAATTATTTTTCGTTGAATATTTAACGTATTTTTTTCAAAATCAACAAACAAAATCATTTAGAAAACAATTTCGGAAAAACTTAACTTCTGAGGAAAAAATCCGGTATGGCAGGCGACCGGATTTTCAAGCTAAGTAACCGAAATTCCAACCAATTCAACCGAAAGTTTAAATAATTCTACCGAAATTTCAAATAATTCAACCGACATTTCAAATAATTCAACCGAAATTCATTACCATTTAACTGAAATCCCAAGACTATTAACCAAAATTCCAAGCCTTTTAACTGTACTTTCAAGCCGGTTAAAAAGATCTAACCATATCCTCAAGCTATGTGTCTAGAGTCGGGGATTTTATTCTTCAAGTACAGCGTAGCACTGTAGGGTCTAAGGGGGGAGGGAGGTGGGAAATAACCATCGAGGGCGGACTGGTGGTAACAGCACCCATCACGGTTCTAAGTTAGTAACATTATGTTTATGTTTATGACGGGGTGGCTAGCTGTAACAGCACCCATCACGGTTCTCTGCTAGTAACATTATGTTTATGTTTATGGCTCCATTCTACAAACATTTTTATCTCTTTCAAAAACCACTTTCCTGTTTCATTTATAATTTATAGATACAAAAAACACATTTTAACTGCGTGAAACGCTACACCGATTTGAAACAAAATGTGCTTGTGGAAGCACATACTCTTCTTGTGGTGTTCGATGTCAGTAAAATCAACAAGTTTCCATTTCTTCCAGGTTTTTATAGATGTAAGTTTACTGAAAGATTCAGAGTGTGGGTGAGAGGGATAGAGATAAAAAGAGGGAGAGAGAGAGAGAGAGAGAGAGAGAGAGAGAGAGAGGTAGAAAGATATATATTAATATATATATATAGAGAGAGAGAGATAGAGAGAGAGAAGGAGAGAGAATACCTGTGTGTGTGGGTGTGTTTGGTGTCCGAATGTCGTTTGCCTAAAAGCCGAATATTCGAGAATGTTTAAGGGATATCACTCTCGCTTTATTTCTGAACTGACATAATTTTTTCTGAAGTAATATATCTCTTAGTTAATTAACACTACACATAAAAAAAAACGTTCGTTCAAAATGTATTATGATTACAAAAAGATGTACATAAATGTTTCCTTAAAATACTCCATTATAAAGCTGATGGTGTAGCTAAATTACTGATATCTTCGTTAACTTGTCTGTTTGCTTTTCTGCAGTAAAAAATCGAAAGCAGTAGATCACTACCGCTGGTCCTCTCAGGGATTGACCTTTTCTAACAACAAATACGCCAGACAGAGAAAACTACATAGAGGTGCAGTAGAGTAAATGTATCATGTACACTTGGTTC